TATCTCTGAAACGAGGAACTCCTCATGGCTGTCCACCATGATGGGTGGAGGGCGCTCGTATGGTCGTCCAGCGAAGCGCTCAGACGGTCTGCGGTAAGGACGCAGTAACGAGACGTGGTAGACATCGTGCACACGAGCCTGACGTAGGTAGTCGGGCAGCTTCACACGGAAGCAGACCGGGCTAGAAGCCGTATCAGAACCGACGGGCTGGAGGATGCGGCATGGGCCAAAGAAGCGACGCAAAAACTTGCCAAGCGTGTCCGCTTCGAGCTGTAAGTGGCGGGCGTCGATAAGCACATCATCACCGACTCTGAATGGGTGATCCATCCTCGATCGGTTCGCACATGCTGCCATGCGAGTCTGGGAAGCGGCTATGTGCTCATGTGCGGTCTTCATGATCGACGTCATGTGTGCAACCCAATCATCCAGCGCGGGACAACTCGTGTCGAGGTGCATCTGTGACGGTCGAAGGAAGTCCGCGGGAACACGAGGGTGATAGTCAAGGTCGCAATAAGGCGACATCCCCGTGGCTGGCGAGACGGCGTGGTTGTAGGCTATCTTCGCGTGGGCAAGATGGAGATCCCACTCCTGGTCGTCACGAACAATCTTTCGGAGAATATCTCCGAGAGTCCTGTTCGTGACCTCGGTCTGACCATCAGTCTGGGGATGGTAAGACAAGGAGACGTGGAGATGGGTGCCGTAAACCTCGTGGAGCCGTCGCCAAAATCGACTGGTAAGACTCGGGTCACGGTCAGATATGATGCTCAGAGGTATGCCGTGGTCACGCACGACTCGGTCAAACACAATGTCGGCGACCTCACGTGCACTGATGACATAGCGGTACGGAACAAAGCGTGCACGCTTCGTGAAGCGGTCGACGACGACYWGGATAGCATCATGACCGCGAGGGGTCGGAGGACGAAGGGGACCGATAAAGTCCATCGAGATGGACTGCCAACGACCCTCAGGGATAGGAAGAGGCTGGAGCAAACCATAAGGAAGGTGGTTCGCAATGTTCACCTCCTGACAGGTGGGACACTCTGCGACGTCGTGCGCTTCGGCCAGACGTACAGGCGGCTCACACGAGCCAACGTCTTATGGAAGCTCATATGACCGGCGGCTGCCTGGTCATGAAACTCTGCTACTACTCGGACATGTAGCTGTCCAGTAGAGGGAACACAAATATAAGGCTCTCTGGTGCCTTGTGAACCGTGCCAGTACACGAGACCGTTGTCCCCGAGAGAGTAGTTCGGGACGGTTTTGCCACTCCGAAGGGTCGCGTGGATGTCGCGATAGTCGGGGCAGTCGTGGTACTGAGTGCGAAACTCGTCGATCACCGAGTGGTGGACAGTGGTGACCGAGATGGAAGAGAGCTGGATCTGCTCCTGGTCGTGGTCAGGGCGCCGGGATAAGGCATCTGTGACCCGATTAGTCTCACCCTTGATGTGCTAAGTGGTGAAACTAAACTCGGATTGGTCGCGCCACTAGCGAGCCTGTCGAGGAGTGAGCTTCGGCTTTGTCGGAAAAGCCTGGACAACAGAGTTGTCCGTACGCACCGTGAACGGTGCCCCGTGCAGGTAGTGACGCCAGTGCCGAGCGGCATAAACTACTGCGAGAACCTCACGTTCATCAGCGGTGTAGTTTATCTTCACGGGCAGGAGCTGACGGGAGTAGAAGGCTATTGGACAATCACCGGAGCGAGACTCGACAGTTCTGTCATCGGCGATGGAAGGCTCGTCAGTAGCTGGACGAGTAGGCGTCAGTCGGGAAGCAGTGGTAGGGGTAGGTGGTGGGAAGCGAGGGATACGAGGATGAGAGGAATCAGGAGAGGAGGGGAAGACCTGAGAAAGCACTGCTCCTACAGCAAAGTCTGACGCATCGGTGGTAAGGATAAAAGGGCGGTCAAAATCGGGTAGGTGAAGAACCGGTGCGCATGTCACCGCCTTCTTGAGGGTGTGGAAGGCGTCCTCGTGGAGGGGTGTCCAAGCCCAGGGTGGGTTCTTCCGGAGGAGGGTAGAGGTAAGGACGTAGGAATACCTAGCGTATCCCTGGATGAAATTACTATAGTAGCTGGTCAGGCCTAGGAAACTGCGAACCTGCTTGGCGGATGTGGGAGCGGGCCACTCTGCAATAGCAGTGATCTTCGCGTAGTTCATGTGGAGACCCTCGTCAGACACGTAGTGTCCTAAGAAATCCACTTTGTGCTGGGCAAAGCGGCACTTGCTCAGCTTGGCATAGAAGCCATGTCCGCGCAAGCGGTCAAGGAAGTCGCGGAGGTGTCTGAGGTGCTCCTCAAGGGTACGACTATAGACCAGGATATCGTCGAGGTAGACGAGAACGTACTGCTCCAGGATATCCCCGAAGATGTCGTTCATCGCCCTCTGGAATGTACCGGGTGCGTTGGTGAGGCCGAATGACATCACTGTAAACTCGTAGTGGCCGAAGCGCGATCGGAACGCGGTCTTCGGCTGGTCGGCTGCAGCGACGCGGATCTGATGGTAACCGCTACGAAGATCAATCTTCGTAAAGAAGCGTTTGCCTGCTAGGCGGTCGAACAGCTCATCGGAACGAGGCATAGGGTAGTTGTTCTTAACCATGTAGCGGTTGAGACCGCGGTAGTCGATGCAGAGACGAAGAGTTCCATCAGCTTTGCGAGCAAAGAGGATGGGTGCACCCCACGGGGAGTTGCTAGGTTTAATGAAACCCAGTCTCAGGAGCTCCTCAAGTTGATGCTTGTGTTCAGTGGCCTTGGGGATCGAGAGTCTGTAGGATGCCTGGTGGTGAATACGATAGTCAGGCACAAGCTGGATGGAGTGCTCAACGTCACGCATCGGTGGGATGCTGGCGTACGAGAACGACGATGTGAAAACATCGTGGTACTCTCGGATGAGGTCACGAACTGCGGGCTCCAGGTCAGCCGTATATCGTGCGAGTTCCTCAGCGTCAGCGCGCGGCGGCGGGGTGGACTCAATGGACGGCGGAGAGACGGAAGTAGACATGGGAACCATGGAGATAAAAGGAGGATTTGGCTCCAGAGGGATCAGCTCGGCGTCGGGACAGGGTGGATCATAGTGTAAGAGATCCGTCACGTTCACCATAAAAAAGGTGACGTTGTCCTGTCGGATGAAGTGGGCGAACTGCAGAGGCGAGGTGACAGTGATAGAAGGAGGTGGTGTGGGCACGAAAGGCTCCGGGAAGGAGGATCGGGCCATGGTGTCGCGGTGGTACCTATGAAAGGTACGCGATACGTCGGTCCACACTTCGTTTTGAGAACGAGAGTGTTGGTCGCCTAATCGGCCTCGGTGCTGCGGAACCGACGAGACCACGGAGTGCTGAGAATGAAGTCGTACCCCGTCTCCATCACATCGAAATTTGCAGAGGAGCGGTGGCGACGAGACACCGGGGAACGATCATTCGGCTCGAGAGTGAGGAAGAAAGGGAGGTCGGTGACCGTCTGATCGACGAAGCGTTGGGTCTTGTTATCCCTTAGGGCGACGGAGATGGGAGTTGGAGACCCTGTCGTGGGTAAGCAAGCTTTCTTCACCACACATGGGTGAATGAAGTCGCCCTGAGAACTGGAATCCCACAGCGTTGAGTACACCCTCCTGGAGGTCCCGAGTCGTACTGGGATGATCGGGAGGGTGCGATCAAGGTAAGAGAGGATGGTGAGAAGGCGACACAGTGCAACGACATGGACTCGGAGGGTGAGTCGCTCCTGACGAACCTGGAGCATGCTCAAGTCCAGAAGAGAGAACACAACGTCCTCGCGAGTAGCGAGCCGCTCGCCTCAACGGGCTAAGCGAATGGCTCGACGCGTCGGTAGTCGCGGCGGGGAAGGAGGGGAGACGGTGGTCTGCGGAGGCGTAGACGGTACTGCGACAGAGGGCTGAGTACACTCTGTCGAGTCCTGCGATACCTCAGCTCCAGTAGCGAGAGGGGCAAACCGCGACAGAGATGTCGGGAAGCCTACTACTGAGGAGGGCGCAGGTGTACACTGCACCGTGGCTAGGAGGCGCCGGGGGGATGAGAGGTGTCGGGGGGGGACTGAGCACGACGCTAGCGAGAAAGGTCGACATAGTGGTAGTCAAGGGCAGTGGTGTAAGGGCACCGCAAGGAGGTATGACCGTCCTGACGGCATCGCAAACAGCCACACCGGCCCAAAATAGCCGCGCGTTCCTCAACGGAAAGGACACCGCGAGGAGGGACAAAGCCCTGGGGGATGTCTTGCTGAGGACCTCAAGGGGCGACGGGCCAGCGTGACCTTGGCGGCTGCGTGCCCGGAAAAGGGTGGAGAGGATGAGCTGGAGGCGCTCAGCAATAGGGAGAGTAGGGTCCTCCGGGTGGTGGTGGACGGCCTCGCCGAGGTCGAGGTCGTCGCTATGGTCACTCTCTGGCGACAGCGGGGCACCAGCGTCCTGCTCACCATACTCGAGCGTGCTGAAGCGGCGCGAGAAGTGGCGACCCTGCTGCGCGGAACGGTGGGGGTGACCGCGGAAAGGGGAATGGCGCTGGGAAGTGCCGTGAGAGGAGGCGTAACCAGTACGCTGCAGCTGGGAGGAGGAGGCGGGGTGAAGACGGGCCCGCATCCGCTGATGGTCCCTGGCGGCCTCGTAAGCCTGCGGGGCCGATGTGAACTCGTACCACCATAGCTCGGAGTGGTACTCGAGCGAAAGGTTGGCCAAGAAACGATCGATAACGGCCGCCTCGAGGAGGAACGCCATGTCACAAATGAGGCGGGCGTCCTAAAACACCTGGATGTGGCGATCCAGGCCGGCAGTGCCACCAGAGCCGGACCAGCGTGTAGTGACGACACGCTCGAAGGCGTAAGTCACGTGATATCGGGGTCCGAAACGATCCTCGAGGAACGCCTGGAAATTCATGAAGGTCGGAGTCCGACCCGCACAAGTGCCACAAACGGAGTAAGCGTAGAAATCCTCCCAGGCGTCGGAAGGACCGCCACGCAGGAGCGTGGAGAGGTGAGTCACCCACGTGTCGGGTGCGGCACCCATGAGCTGGAGCATGAGGGTGGCAGACTGTAGCCACCGAGACACGCGTATGCCTGTAATGTCATACAAGGCAATGTCCGTCAAGCGGACGAGTGGTGCGCCACCGTTTTGGTGGCGAGGAGAACGGGAAGCAGGGGACTGCACTACAGCTGAATAAGTCGGCGGAGGTCCTTGAGGAGGGGGCGCAGCTCACTGTATGCTCGGGCCGCATGGTGGAGCGGCGGGGGAAACAGCGGCAGGCTGCACGGGAAGAAGTAAACAAAATGTGAAAAGAAAAATAAGATTTATTTTTTTGAAATTTTCGGCAGCATTTCCCTACCCCCCATGGGGTTAAGAATATGCCAAAGGAAAAGGAGAGATCTAGATAAGCACACTAGATTTCAAACTGCCGCAAATAAAAAATTTTCAAAAAAAAAATAAATAAATAATAAATAAATAGATAAATAAATAAATAAGTAAATAAGTGGGTGAGGAGGTGGAGAGAGATGGGGTATTTGATTTTTCAAAAATTTTGGCAGCATTTCATTACCCCCATGGGGTCGAAGTGTACCGAAAAGACTAAGTAAGAGAAAATCAGAAAATTTCGGCAGCACTTCGTTACCCCTACGGGGTCAAAATGTGTGCCGAAAGCAAGAAAGACTAACACCTAATTAAATTTAGGGTTGCCGTAAAAAAAAAATCGAATTTTCAGAATAAATGGAAAAAAAAATGAAATAAATCAGAAAATGAGAAAAGAAGGTGGGGAAGAAGATAATTCGAATTTTTGAAAAAAGGTGAAAAAATAAATCAAAAGACAGATAGAAAGAAGAAAAACAAAAAAAAATCGAAGTAGGGGGGAAGGGGAATGAAAAAAGTGAAGGAGAAAAGAAAGAAATAGGTGGGAGAGAGAAAAAAATGGAAGTGGAAGGTGGAGGAATAATGTGGTGGTAGTTGGGGGATGGGAGGGTTGGGGAAAGGTGGAGAGGGATCAAAAAGAAAGGAGAAAAAAAGGAGGAAAGAAAATAAAAGAAATAAAGAAAGGAGAGTAAAACGGTGTTTTCGTTAAAAATGAAATATTTTGTAAAAAGTAAACATAATGAAATTAACAATTTTGCCAGAAAAAAGTAAATTTAACAACAAGAACAGAGGATTTTAGCATCTTATTGACAAATATTGTACAATCAAGTATTCAAAAGAAAATTGCATATCTGCATCAATACAAGTTTTATTAGTCAACAATCCATTATTCTATTTCAAAAGAAAGTTGCATATCTGCATCAATAAAAGTATGATGAGTCAACTATTGTATATTATCCCTACCTTTCATAACATGAATACATCCATTCTATCGCAAAATCCAAGAAGTCATATTATTATATTAATTATAATACCAAGCTTACACAATATGGACACATATTCCAAAACGTGAGACTTACACAAAGTGTAAAAGCTAGTGAAATGTCGTGAGTGTCGCATCAAGTTCAACTTGGTAATGCTAAATCTAAGCCTTTAAGTTAAGTTTGTTTGGGCAGGGAACATCAGATTTCAAAATGATTGAAATATAAAAACCTTGAAAGAACAGAAAGACCTTGTATGTGACCTTGGAAGAAAAATAACTGTTAATATTTGACAACAAAGTGCAGCGGACACTCCGAAAACACGTACAAAAATTATGCTTGAAACTACAATAACACCCTTAAATGAAAACGCGTGCAAAAATTTAATATGAAAAGCAATTTGAAAGCAGTGCAACCGACCTTAGTTCGAATCCCATTGAACTCGGAAGACCAAATAACTCTACATGAACGCATGACCGGGCTATTCGAACTTAGATGATGTCTCAAAGCCATCGACCGAGTAAGAGAAGAAAAATTAAATGCAAAGCACAAATAACACTAAGAAAGTAGGCAAAACAAGCCTAGTAACTAGATTGACTTAGGGGATAAACTAATGCGATCAAGACAACATTTCAGTCTGTCCTTATATAAGTTATCCAATCTTCTACAATGATGGTATCATTTTGTCCGTCAAACGCGGGGTCGTTGTACTCTGTATAAATTTCTATTACTTCATATTCGTGCAGCAGAAGACTTCGCAAATATTTGATGGCCGTGTCCACAAGCCCATCCATGAGTGTTTTGAGTGACGGTTGCTCCATGATCCTCCTCCGGAATTCTTCCCGTCTTCGTTCATCGATGTTATCTGCATTGAAAACACTTGCATTTGCAGAATAGTCATTATGAATAAGGAAAGATACTTTGCATTAACCTCGAACAGTCGTCGTTGCACAAAACGAGGTCATCACGTTGAAATTGTTGTGGTAGAATTTGACTGCTGAATAATACAATTCCGAAAAGGGTGCGAGCACTTCTCGCAGGTATGTTCTCGTTCCACAACACCTGCGACCACAAATATACAGTGATTCTCGAGGATAATGTTCCCAGTCTTCCGGTGGGCCATCCACACCTCTGACACTGAGTACTGCACTGTCAAAGATCACTTCGGATGTGAAGAAGATAGGACTCATATCATGCCATATATTTCTTCCCCACACCATGTTACTTTGCGGTCATCCAGTCGTCACAAATGGTTGAACCATTCTACAAGACATGAAAATACAGTTTAAATATATATAAATGAAAACTCAGCGACAACTAAATAATGTACTAATACGTGTAAAGAAATACGATTAGCTCTTCCTCAAAACGTATATAAAACCTACTGATCTTCATCATCGGGAAGTGAAAGGCATTCGAGTCATCACCTGTTCCGCCGTCAGCGTGAAAGAGCACTCTCCTTTGAGAAGTTAACCTCATTTTTCATTCCTAACCATTCGTGCCGCTTGTTCTCCAACCACCCAACAAACGTCGTCACACCTTCAATTCCTGATTCGAAATCCGAATTCCTATCTTTAGTAGGCAGAGAAGCTGACGGCGGAACAGGTGATGACTCGAATGGCAATTCGAATCCAGCATATGCTTTGTTTTCATTTCGTCTAAAGCAATAGACTAGAGCAGACCATTTAGGAGAAGTGCAATACTCTTTCCACTTGAACACAGGATTGTCATCCTGCATGTAAAACCTAAAGGCATGTGGACGAGTATGTCCGGTCAGTCTCTTGATCAGGAAGGGCTTAACAGCACCTCGCCAATCAGCAATTTCATCCGTGAATGTGCACGACGGACGTTCTTTTTTAGAACTGGCAACGAGCTTGAAGATGTCGAGCATGGTATAAGCATCGTGCATTTTCTGTTTGCGGAAGAAATGACTGAAAGTGGCATCAACGTCCGTATGTGTGTGTCCCACTAACATAAAACCGAATTCGACTTCTTTGAAGAAGCCAAATTTTACCAAAGCTGCAGCAAGTGCCAAAATGTATCTGTTTTTGTTTTCTCTCCAACAGTTGTCAGCTTGTATCCTCAGTTTAGAAGACAAGTCGCTTGTCGCCTAGATGTCACGCAAAACTTTCATAATGGATGACAGTACAACATTCGAATTGTGTGGATAGCAAGAGCACTATGTGTGAACATGGACCGATGGTGAGCGGCCATGTACAATAATAGCTGTTAAATTAGTTTTCAACATCGGAATATTTTCGAATGCCTTCGATTTGTTCTCTCCGCCAAAGTGTGGAATACTGGTCTTGCTTTGGTCCATGCCGTCAATGATGATGCATGAACTGTTGGAACCCGGTCTCTTCGACTCATCCTTCCACACCTCCTACGCAACACGATGTTGGAGCTGCAAGTCCACGTGTTTCTCACGTAGCGAAACAATACTCACGCACACGTGAGTACTTTGCGGAACTGATAGATTCTTTGTATTCGACACATTTCTCGCATTTCGTAAAGTTTTGATCAATGTCATGGAATTTAACATGCCAAAATTACGTTCTCCACATGTTGTAGAGAACTTGGAGAGAAACACAAGGAGCACCCATGTTGTCGAACTGCGACTTTAGCAACTTATAAATATCAACCTTGTTATAGCAAGCAGGCAATCTCAATACCACTTTCGATTCCCCCTCTTTGATCTTCATGTCATTGGGCATTGAATCTCCGTTATCTCGCACGAAGGAGCTTAGTTTTCCGTACATCGTCGCATATGTTACTGATGTGCGTCTGAGCCTAGTACTACCGTGCTCCGGCATAATGTAGTTTTTTGACAAAGTCATCCTTTTTTTGAGAAATGTATTCCTACATACACCTAGTGTGAAACACCAAGCACTAATGCACACATTTCGTTTTCCCACAATAGGTTGAACAATCTCCTTCTCATCTTCTATGAAGGTGAACCTCTTCAACGTTTCAACCCACCATGCATCCCTCCTCTGCTGGTCCTTAGAGTAGTATGCGCTCCGAACAACTTTGATGTCTTCCAGGGTCATTTGAGCGCAACACTCTCGCTTACAACAAACTTGTCTACGCACACTCGCCAGTGCTTTTTTTGTGAGTTTTTTATGAACTTATTGCAGAATCTTCTATGACCGCGACATTCTGACACGAAAAGTATAAGGACGCTTCTCTGAGGACAGACATTTTGGGAAAATGTCATCGAAATCAGAGATCACATCACAATTCTCATCGTCATTTCGACAACAGTGGTCAGTGTTCCGGTCAGCGTACGTTTGCGGACGACCGGTTTTATCTGGAGAACTATCAACACTAGACGACACCAAAGCACTTGAATCTGAACCATCTTCATCACTCTCACCAAACAGAAGACCTGTGTACCCGAAATCTCGAAGTGAACTCCTATGCACCCATACAACACGGTCTACATCGGATGCGTTATTGTCAGCAACGAAAGCCTTACCCTCCTGACCTTCCGCACTCTTTGCATCAGAGGCTCGAACCGGGCAGCGCAAGACTGGATACGCACTTTCACATGTAGTGACCGCACACACAATATTTTGTGACCTCATATGAGCAGGACACTCCAGAGCATTATAGACACGTTCGTGACCACTTCGAACATCTTGTGAACACATTGGCAGGTGCGGTGGAGAAAAATCCTCATTGAGCATTGTATTAGATGCCACACAGTCCATGGTTTCCAAGGTTGTGCTGCAAGCCTGCCGTGGCATAGCATGCACACCACAAACCATGTACGAAACGTGTCTGCGACAACAAAACAGCGGACCACTGTCAAAGGCACAAATCAGAGGTCAATGAAAGGGAGTAGACAACCATCCCTACATAACAGCAAGAAAAACAACCCTATAAACGACACCGAGAAATGCAGCCCTACACGGGACGGAGGGGAACAGGAAACATCCGAGCGGGGATAACACACGACCTTGGAATGTGAGCATCGAGATGAATCATTTACAAGGGCACAGAGACCGGGTTCGAAGCATGATGAATTCTGACAATGGGTGAGGACTCAGCAGTCCAGTCATCGGGGCAATCTGTGCCAAAAGCGCAGTACACGCAAAAAAGTTTGTCGAAGTCGGAGATCGAACGAGAGTGGAAAATGTAGCACACGTCAAGTCGGGCACCAGTATCGGAAAGGCAGAGATTATGACGTGCAAAACACAGCGTGCACCAACAGTGAAAAGGCGGAGATCCTGACGCGCAAAAGGAAACGTAGCACATGTCACGTCGGGCATCAGCATCGGAAAGGCAGAGATCACGACGGGCAAAACACAGCGGGTACCAACAGCGGGAAGGTGAGGACCCTGGCGCGCAGCACACAACTTGACATGAGGGTATTGATAGCAAACATTAAGAACGACACAGGTTCCAGGAACTTCAGCGACGACACACGAGTGGTTCCCACCACCCAGAGCGAGCAGGAAAACTGCCACGAGCGAACAGGAAAACCACCGTGGCAACGAGACCGCATTGTGCAACACGGAAGGGTCCCCTCTTCTTGATGAACGGGCACTAGACTCCGCGGATTAAAACCAAAATTTGCGCAGAGTTCGAAGACCATGTCGGTCGAGGAACTCTACTGACGGCACACGACGGGTTCCCAGAACCCCAGACTAAGCAGGCAAATGACTGTGGCAACGCCACCGTCGTGTCCAACATGAGAGAGACTCAATTTTATATTATCACAATCTCCCAATCTACAATCAGTGTAACAAGAGACAAAAGACAATCACCCGGGTACTATGTTTCGCTCGTGCAACTCGCACTGGATTGTTTGCGACCTGTGCAAGTCGAAGCACGTCTCTCGAATGTGACTAATTGTGGCGGAACACCCGAAGGTGGCGGTCCGACCCGACCCGCGCCGACGGGACGAAGTCGACCAGCAAGAGAATGGTTGTCCGGGATAGTGGCCACCACATCGACCGGCATGGCACCTGCATCGACGGTGGGGCAAGTCGTCCCCCCCCGCGATTGTATCGACGATCGTATCGTCCACGGAGGCATCGGTTGTTCGTGGTCTTGTGCTGACCAACATGACAGTAAACAGTCCGCAGACAACACAGCTCGTGCCGAAGACGCCACACACTCTGCTCTGCGCCGACAGCAGTTAGCCCGCAGCGCTTGTTGCCCTGCCAAACACGAAGCAGTGTTTTTCTTCCCTGGAACCCGGGAGCCGCAGCGCCACTGTCGTGGCGAACACGAGCATGGTGCCCGACATGACGACGATCGTGCTGGACACGACGACAATCCTGCCCGACACCTCGACGGTCGTGCTCGACATGGCGGCGGGCGCGCTGGACACGACGACGATCATTGTCGACACGACTATGATCATGTTTGACACGTCGAGGACGATCGTGCTCGACACGACCACTACAGTGTTCGACACGACGAAGACGACCGTGTTCGACACGACGACAATCGTGTTCGACACGATGACGATCGTGCTCGACACTACGACGATCGTGTTCGACACGACGAGGATCGTGTTCGACGATCGTGTTCAACAACCACGCCCGACGACCGCGTTCGGCACGACGACGATCGTGCAGGGCACGATGTCGAGCGCGCTCGAGACGACGACCATCGTGTTCGACATGACACTACGATCATGTTCGACACGAGGACGATCATGTTCGACATGTCGACCATCGCGCTCGACACGACGACGATCGTGCCGGACACGACGACGATCATGTCGTCGGACACGACGACGATTGTGTTGGAGACGACGACGATCGTGCCGGACACGACGACTATCGTGTTCGACACGACGACGATCGTGTCGGACACGACGACGACCGTGTTCGACATGACGACGACTGTGGTGGACACGACCACCTGTGCAAATAAACGCCATAAGGAAGTGTTGGAGAAAATTTGTTGACGTCACCAATAAACTAACAAAGGACAGGGCGGGCCACGGAGGTTTTTCTCTTTGGTTCGGGGGGGGGGGGGGGGGGGGGGGGGGGGGGGGGGGGGAGCAGCCGGGTTGGCGGAAGTGACACTAACCTGGAGAGCGGCCCAGTTGTTGTGTTAACGCTGGCGGATCGCTGCGCTGATTTTCCCAGAATGTGAACAACGGAGCACTGACACAATGTCGCGGCTACTCATGTGCGTCGGCTCTGGGCGGAACGTCATCCTCGTGCCTCCGCTTTGGCTAGGGGGGAAAAACGATCGTGGCTGACGGCCGACCGACGGATCGACGGCTAAGATTCACCGGGGGGGAAAATAGGGCGGTCCATTGGCCTCACCACCAGACCACCGTCTGCAGCCAAGCGATCATCCCGACCATCCGTATTCCCGGATCAGACGGCCAGCAGGCGCGTGCGGAGGGCCCACCCGAAAAACTATATATATGGAGGGGGTCCACCACTTTCCATTTTCAGTTCAGTTCCGTATCGGATGGGCAGCGCAGCGGAGGTCCGTTGACGCAGCAACAACGCAGCGCAGCGGAGGTCCGTCGACGCATCAACAGCGCAGCGCAGCGGAGGTCCGTTGACACAGCAACAGCGTAGCGCAGTGGAGGCTCGTGCTCAGCTGACTAGGAGCACGGCGTGGCGACGGAGCGCAGGGATTCGTTGATGCAGCGGAGGTCCGTGCATAGCAGACCATCTGCGCGACGCGACGGCAGACCGTAGCGAAGGTGTCGAGGGTCGCAGGTCGCGACGACGGAGCGAGCAGATGACCCCAGAACGTGACGCGCAGCCACAGTCGAGCACCCCGAGTCCGAAGGATCAGACGGTGAGGACACAACCAGTAAGCCCATATGCAACCACGTAACGCCACATGGCACTTTCCGTTGCCGTGATCGTCGAGTCGAACACGATCGTGCCCTATCGTCGAGTCGAACACGATCGTCGAGCCGGACACGATCGTCGAGTCGGACACAGTCTTCGAGTCGAACAGGATCGTCGAGTCGAACATGATCGTGCCCTATCGTGGAGTCGAACACGATCGTCGAGCTGGACACGATCGTCGAGTCGAACATGACCGTGCCCCATCGTCGAGTCGAACACGATCGTGCCGTATCATCGAGTCGAACACGATCGTGCCGTATCGTCGAGTCGAACACGATCGTACCCTATCGTCGAGTCGAACACGATCATGCCCTATCGTCGAGTCGAACACGATCGTTCCCCATCGTCGAGTCGAACACGATCGTCGAGTCGAACAGGATCGTGCCATATCGTCGAGTCGAACAGGATGGTGCCGTATCGTCGAGTCGAACACAATCGTTCCCCATCGTTGAGTCGAACACGATCGTGCCCTATCATCAAGTCGAACACGATCGTGCCCTATCGTCGAGTCGAACACGATCGTGCCCTATCGTCGAGTCGAACACGATCGT